ATTAGAAATTTCAAATATTATTGAACATATTGGATCCAAAAAATTCGCAGCAATCATAACAGATTCAGCCTCTAATTGTAAACTAGCAAGAAAAAAAATTCAAAAAATATCTATATATCTTGAATATTCATTATATCATTTATACTATTAACTTAATAGCTATAGAACTAACTAAAATTGCTAAAATAAAATTATTTATTAATCGCTATGAAAATTTAATAAAATTTTTCTTAAAAGTTAGCATTATTATGACAAAGATTAGCAAGTATAAAAATCAAGTCTGAGGGTCTAGAAGCATGGTGTCAAACTCGTTAAGGATCATTATATAATATAACAAATTCTATACTAGTCGTGTATCCAGTATTTGACTGGGTGAGCATTTTTTTTAAAAAAAAAAAAAAAAATAGTTACATAAACTAAACTAATCAATATTTTATTTATACGTGCATATAGATGCTGCTTGAACATCCAAATATATTTACAGATGTAGAAATCTTTAATTTGTTATACAATGATACTTTTTTTATTACCTGTCGACAAATCCGTTCTATATGAAAGGCAATAAAAACTTTTATAACTGCTTTAGAAGTTGGCTCTGCATCATTAGCAGACTGTTATATTTACCTGATTAAATTGGCAATTATAATATATCAAATTTCTAAATCAGTCCAGTTTAAACCTGCTATAATTCGACTGTTCAACAAATGTTATATCGAATTTCAGCATCTGTATTACCTATTATGCTATTACCTTCATCTATTTTATCATGGTACATATAAGAATAGATTAGTGGGACCACCAAAATTTAGCAAATCGGTCTGAATTTGGGGTCAGGGATGGGCTGTAGCAAAGTAGCATTAAGCCATAATACTGGCCAACTATATTATAGCAAAATTATTTTTAGGTAGCTTTACTTGGTATATAGGCTACCACTTTATTAGTAAAATTTTGTGTGATTTTAGAAAAAATTTATTAATTCTAGCCTATTCTGACCTAAATTCGGGCCGATTTACTGAATTTTGAAGTCCTACTAATCTACTTATATGAAAAAAAATTTTGATTATTATATTTAGTAATAACAAATTTAATATTTGATATTTTTATTTTTTTATTTTTATTTATTTTTTTTTATTTAATTTACTTTAATTTATTATTTATTTTATTTTTAATTTTAATTTTTTTTTTTAGAAAGAGGGCTTAAGAATGAGGCATTTCGTGATGCAGTGATAACTGCCTTAACTATTTGGAAAAATTCTTTGCATTCTGAACAAGAATGCCAAGAACTAATATCAGAGTTTTGGTATTTTGATGCAAAAAAAGGACCATTCGATTTATTCTATATACAAAGTCTTGACACTCCAATGCTATGGTGGGGATCTATAAAAAAGTGCTATCTTTTAGAACTTGCACAGAAACTCTTCAGTATTACACCATCTCAAGTGAATTGTGAAAGAAACTTTTTGATTCTAAAATGGTTTATCGGTGATAAAAGAACACATCTTGATACCCAAAGACTTGAAGAAATAGCAAAAATACGGTCATATTATATGACAAACATCCAGAAAGAGCTTAATTGTTTTGGTGCTAAATTGTCTGAATATGAACTGTGTGAAATAGTAAATCTCGCTTCAATTAATAATTTTATTGAAGAAGAGAAAGATGAGGAAAATAAAAGTGAAAATAATAATATATATGATGATGATTTGTTAACCTGTGCCAATTTAATTTTGGAGGAAACTGTAAATTTAAAAGACTTAATCTTTCAGGATAGAGATTTTATACCATATGAAGCTTCACTTAATACTCCAGGTGATACAAGTAATAATAATAGTGAAAGCAACACAAATATAGATTTTAATCCTAAAAGTCTTGTTGATATGATCTTAAATAATTTAGAGGATTAAAATAATGGTACGATTTTTTTTATTTTTATAATATAAATTTGAATTACTTTATTTTAATTAACAATCATATTTTTTGTTTAATTAGACATATCTGATAAAAACAATTAACAATCATATTTTTAGTTTAATTAGATAAACCTGATGAAAACATTTACCAGTAAGCAATTAGCTACACAAAATTATAACTGTTCTCATAAATTCTGGGATAACTGATAAAAAATTAATCGGCCGAATTGATAAGTTTTTGAATTCGGTGTTATCGAATTACTGTAATGCTGAAAATTCAATTCTGATAACACCAAATTCAAATCTTATCGAATTCGGCCAATTAATTTTTATTAGTTGTCTCAGAATTTATAAGAACAGCTATAATTAATTAATTTTTATAACCCGGTTGGGTCTAACTTTTGAAAGCTTTGAAAAATTTTTTTTTTATGAAATTAAAAAAAAAAAAAAAAACTAGGCAGCCGGTTCTGTTTAAAATTTCATGTTATGAACCCAAGAAATTAAATTGGTATGGTCCTATATAAGCAAGCATATAATTTAAAACAATAATATTTACAAATCACTTATTTTGAAATAATCATATTGTTTATTTAAAATTAGGTGCTAAATTATTAATTCTGAAACCCCAAGATTCAAATTTGATATTTTAGTAAATTTGAACTTGAATAATTAATAGTTATGAAGAATTGCTTGCAAAATCATTAGAAATAGAATCAGATAGCATTTTGATTAAAAAACCGTAGTCTGTTAAGATGTGAGAAATTAATTCAAACAATAATTCAAATATATCTTTGAGTTAAAATATTTTAGCAAAATGTTAAAGCCAAATAAGCTTTTTTTTTCTTGAACACTTTCACTAATTTTTAAACGTTGCGACATTAGGTAATCAATTTTATAATAATTGGCTAACTTTGTCTATTAAAAATATGAATTGCACATGTCATATAATATATTATAAATTCAGTAATTTTAGCTACAATAAACTTAAATAAAAAAATTTTATTTTATAATTTCAGAAAATTGGATTGTTCTCGATTTTACAAATGCAATGGCATATATTATTAAATATTACGATTATGAATACATCAAAATTTTCGGCATATATCTAATGTTGCGACACACGTCAAATATTACGGCACAGTCAAATATTACAATACACATCAATATTATGATATACATCAAATGCTATGGCTCAAGTTAAATATTACAATACATGTCAAATGCTATGGTACATGTCAAGTACTATGGTACAAGTCAAATATTACCGCAAACGTTAGTTATGACTTTTTGACGTATCAATACATCTTTGAGTTATATCCAATTGACGTTAAAATCAGTTATAAACTCAGTATATATCTGCACTTATAATTAGTAACAACTTTTAATTTTATCCCTTAAACTGTAGGCTTTTCCAGGCAAATTTGCCTGGAAAATTATCATAAATATGGTTATGATCTACTTTTT